CGCTAGGGGGGCGTGAGATACCCGAAGCTTTAGAAAGATTATTCTTTTTTCGCTCACACAGTCTGCTCTGCCAAAAGTCTGCTTGTTGCATGCCAACGCTGCCATTCAGTCCAACAGCGGCCCGTTGTGTTCGGCCTAGAAGCATGGCATCGAGGCCTCCACACACAACCCCAGCCTGCATATGATACCCCAGTCCAGAAATCCTTTCCTGAATGAAGAGCCCATTCGGCCAAGCAGGGGACTGGCCGTCGCAGCATGGGCAAAATTATGCAGCGACTGTGGTTGTACAGCTGTCTGCCTGGCCCGATGGTATGCGCACGCGTCATGAGTTTCGGGGAACTGTACCATGCACAGGAAAAGCAGCATGCACCAAGCTGACCGCTAGCTGCGCTGTTGCGGGGATGTTCCAAAAACCGCGGCCTTTGGATAGCCACTCGAAACATCTTGATCCATACCGTACACTATGGAACGAAAGGGTTTATCCATACCTTGTGGATTTCTGGGCGCCTTTAAAAAAGAATAATAGCCATAATCAAAAACTAAGGTTTGTATCAAGACATGATCAACAAACAAATCTACCTGCCAAGTGTGGGCAGTCACAGGGATCGTGGGAGTCGTGGTCGCCATCCTCGTAACTGTCGTTGCTTTTAGACCTTCTGATCCTCTTGGAATATCGGTGGATGGCAGTACGTCGCTGTTTATGAAGTTTTGGAATGAGGAGCTATGGAATGACAAAACCCTCGCTGATCCATACCCTACGGATGGGCGTATGGAACGGATGTGCGTGCTCATCCTATTCTATACCCAAACAGTTTCAGGATTCATGCCTTCGCGACCTAAACCCTCTGGTTCCTCACTGGCTGACCAGTAAACACATGCAAATGCAAAGCTGCAACAGCTGCAACGCATAAGGCCACCGGGCTTTTGCGTCGTGTTGCTAACCACTCGCCTTCAAAATTATTTACTTCGAGAATCCCCACCCTAAAGCCGTTATTGCACAACAAGTGTAACGTTTCCCTGGCCAGGGATACTCTGCAGTTGGGCACTGCAGGGATACTTTTCGGTTGGGCCCTGCACGGATATTTGGTGGTTCGACACTGCAGGGATACTCATTGGTTGGGCACTGCAGGGATACTTGGTGGTTGGGCACTGCACCGATACTTGGTGGTTGGGCACTGCAGGGATACTTTGCGGTTGGGCACATCCATTAAGCATTGCAGGGATACTCATTGGTTGGGCGCTGCAGGGATACTTGGTGGTTGGTCACCAAAGTCAGCTTCCAGTCGGGCGAGGACAACATCTACCTAAAAATCTAACAACCCCACTGAGAGGGTGGGGAAAAAGCAACCTGAAACCATAGACTGGCTAGGTCCAGGGTCGAATGTTGTAACAGCTAGTTGTTTCATGGTTGTACAAAGGGTCTCTCAGGATGAATGCGCAAAATCAACCTCGACACGTAAATCATTTTAATTCAAACATGCGGGTTCTATTTTGCTGTGTATGTTTAGCTAAAATAATAGTAGATATGATATAGCAGCTTAAATGTGCTTGCGTACTGTTGCAAACAAAATTCGTTTAAAAAACGAAAACTAAAGCCTGCCACCCTAAACCGTAAACCCTGCGAGCCCTAAGCCCGAAACCCCAAACCAAAACCTCATGCCTCTGCCGTCACGATCTCGGGCTGCTTGACTGGGTTGGTCCCTGTCAAGGTTTGGGGCACATTGCTGAGCGGGTACGCTCTTCAGCTTTGGGCAGAGGGCTTCAGGTTCAACAGAAGTTCAACAGGTTTGGCTTCACAATGGAGGTTTGAGGCTTGAGGCCAACCTTGACTGTCAAGGATATTTGTTTCAATTTGCCTACATTGCATATGACCAACATGAGTGGAAATCAACCTCGGGACCCGTGTCTTCAATTGAACCCACATAATTACAAAGATCCAGGTGGAAAAAGCGCGATATTCAGCTGTTGCAGCTGGTGTCGGCAACCAGTTCTCGGACCTTCAGCGGGTGAGGATTTCTCCAAGTAGGTGTCGCCCACGTCTTGCAGAATGGCACTCCAGCCGTTGCTTCAAGCCCAACCCGAAGCCCTAAACCAAAGCTCTGACCCTTTCGCCTTGTGCCCTAAACATCCCTCAACATCCCTATGATCCTGAGCCCAGCAGCTTGGCCAACTCAGGGCTGCCAGCGGCGTCTCGGGGGAGGGCGCTGGGGCAGCGGTGGCGCTGGCAGAGAGGGATGAGCCTTGGTGTTCTTCAAAGGTCAGGTTGGTTGGAGGTTTTGGGGTTTGATCTTTAGTTGCCAGCGGGATGCAGGCTTTTTAGCTTAGGGGTTCAGGCCATCCAGGGGCTCATGAACAGCGATAACAAAGTGATAGCAACGAGAGACCTTGTATCATCATAACATATTTATCCACCTGCAACTGCCCATGAACCTTCATGTACTGCTCCCTGGCGAGGCTTCCTCTGGTGACAACTCTGCCTCTGAACTCTCCACCACACGAGCAACATAACCTTTATACTTCAATTTCACGGGTATTTCGAGATGGGGATATATCCCTCCTAAGTTACATTATATTCTTCGTGCAGGGGCCTCCTGTGAGCCCCCAAACGGAGCCCCTTTAGTTGCAGCGAAGAAGGCTGCAGCCACAAGTGGTTCCGCATCCGGAGTTGTCGGGCCAGGCTCGTTGGGCCAAGTCCTTTGGCCAACGCTTAAAAAATCTGTTGGCAAGTTGGGGCTTGGGATTTAAGTGTTTCAAGGAATTGTGGAAAGCTGGCATGGTCCTTCCACACAGTAAAATTTGTCTTCAAAGCCAACAACTCCCTCAGGCACAGCGTGAAAAGACGCATGAACAATAATCTTACGTGCCTCTCATCGAAAAACCCTTGAGGGCCTTGCATTTTGGGGGGCTTGGTAGCGCTCTGTGCCCAAACTGCAGAGTTCTTACTTAGCTTCTGTGCCGCCACAGGTATGAGGTCATCCCTTACAGAAGCTTTAGTTGGGACTAACAGTGACTAACAGTTGGCCTTCCCTCCTCTAAAGCTCTGCGAGGACTTCAGCACACTCATGGTTGGCATAACGAACGCGCATACTTGAAAACCCCAACCAATTGAGTCGTGTCCTCGAGGTCCGGAGTGCTGTCCATCGCCTGCGAAGAAGGCGGTGCTCCATGCTCTTGCTGCTAAAATTTTGGAAATGGCGGCCCCCAGACCCTAAACCCATCCAAAACCCATATACCCCTACTTAAAGGCTACAAGGAGGATCTTGAATCGGTTGCTGTGTTTGCTTGGAGCCGACCGGCACTTCCATGCCAAAGACACGCCTTGCGCACTTCTTTACGTTCGATCCCCGCAACAGAATCGTTTGTGTCCACCCCTAGCCATTTCCTCAGGGTTTATGCTTCAGGGTTTAGGCTGAACGCCAAACCCCAAGAGCCATAGCAATTGGCCGAGCCTTGACATGGCCCACAAGCGCTTTCAGCCGCTGCACCTTCTCCATGGCCCTGGGAGGACGAAAGTCTTGGCTTTGAGGGTTTAGGGCTGCGGTTGATACTTCCTTAAGGTTTTGGCGTTTAGGTCTATGGTTAAGGGGTTATAGGACGCCGCGGCTCCTTTGCACGGAATCTCCAATCATCGACAGTCGCAACAACTGGAAGAGATGTGAAGCAACAGCAAGTTACATCCATGGTGACTCTGACTCATGATGCTTGCCCTTAATTCATGCAACAGTCTGAAGACGGACTTCCAGTGCACTTTGAAAGGAATCTCATGGCCAGATAACCATCGTTGCACTTATAACGGCCCGTCCACCGTGCATAAAAAACGAAATCCTTTTGTGTGATTTAATGACATTTCTGCAAAAGACACTTCTGCTGAACCGAAGCTGGAGAGCTCCGTCACGTGGGCATATTGGTGTCTACATGCTACAGCTGAAGAGGCACGCGGGCACTTGAACCTCAGCAAAATTTGAAGCACAGTAAGCCTTAAATCCCAAACAGCCACTTGAGAGAACTCGGAGCTACAGCCTGGAACAGGAACAGCTCAATCTGTACAAGCTTTCAAACGTCTGTGCTTGAGCCAGGCCACGCTTTCAGAGCTTGGGTGCTACAAGCCACTGCTATGTCGTTAAGGCTTTGGGGGGTGTAGGTTTTCAGGCTTGGTTTTAGGGGCTTAGTGACAGCAAAGCAGGAATCATTCTCGACAGAGTAGGTTTTGGGGCGGAGAGTGTTGGGTTGAGGGAGCTTGACTTGATGCACAGCGAGGCGAAGACTCATGGCCGAGGGGGGTCACTTAAGCACGTCTGGTTAGACGAAGCCCAGTCAGCTCTGAACCCCAAGCTTACTCGGATGTAAGTCTCTCAATCTCAGTAAACCTGCAACGGCTTCCCTATCCACATAGGAAGGAGGGATCCTCCTTGTTGTTTCACACGCAAACTTCGAAAAGCGGAAAAGATCCGTACAAGAGCACCTCGCAAGCCTCATGAACCCTCTCCTTCTCCAGAGCCCTCCAGCGTAGAAGTAGTGTCGCCTGAGTTGCGAATCAAGAAACTTGGGATTGGAGTCCGGAGACCTGTAGCTTCATAGAGTTAAACCTGTAGGGTTCGGGGTCCTATGGTTTGAGGGCTGAGCATGTCAAGAAGCCATGCCCAGAATGGGCATGGTTTAGGATTCGAGGGTCTCCTGATCCTGTGTTTGGAGATCGTTCTGTTTCACATTCCTCACCAGCTTGGGGACTTAACCCCAGCGGCCCATCCCAAAAAAACCGCTAAGGTCAGAAATCCAGGTCTGCTTCAAACCACAGAGCCCCAACATGTGAAACGCCACTGGCGACATGCCTCCATGAAGATGGACGAGAAGCAGCCTTTCCTTCCGGATGATCCTACGACCGAAGTCACAGAGAAGCTTCCGGGCGCCGTGCGAGGGCTCGTTCTGTGTAGGCTTTTAACACCAGTGGGTCTGCCGGCAGCCTGGACAGGACTGGCAAGGTCAGCTCATCTCTTGCTCTGATGTTCACAAGCATAAAACATTTTACGCGACAATGTCAACCTGCCATCCCCAAAATGGGTTGAGACTAGCTAAATTGGACCGGAATCCGCCCCAAGAAAAACTATGAAGCCTACACTCTACCAGGTTGGACGGCACGGATGCACATCACTCCCAAGGCCCTGCCCTGTGCCACCCAAAAACGCCACCCAAATAGACGGATAAAACCTTGCAAAATCGCTGCAAGCACAGGCACTAAACACCTGCTAAGCCTGTTGAAAAGACCCCAAACAAGCACTAGAAATTTTGTGCACCACTACTGGGCATCTCTCAGAGCATCTTCGGAAGAATCAATCCCTGACCTTATCCGCCAAGTCCGTCCGTGACCCAGCTCAAGGACCAAGGCGAGCAACCCCCGCCCCGTCGAAGCCCCCCCTGCAAAAACTGGTATTATCTCTTGACGTTCGGCTCACGCTTGGCTGCCTTTCCGTCATCTCTAAACTTTAAACTCCCCAAAGCGAGTGCAACGGCCGCCTCAGGCATAGCTTCTTGAGCTCGTCGAAGCCTGAGACGTTCCTCGGCACCAACTTGAGAAGGCGTCCATTTGCAAGCTCATAGGGGTGCAGGCTTTAGGGCCTGGAGATTCAAAGGCAACTACAAGCAGCACCAGACGCAACTTTCAAGAAGTAAGAAGTTAGAAATTAGAAGTAACTAGAAATGTAGTTGTCCCAAATTAAAGCAGGGGACAATATCCGGCCTGCCAAGTAGAATCTAGCATTGGTAAGAAGTGCCCTGCGAATCCTGGCTGAGACAACTCCAAAAGCTGAGCGCCCCACAGTGACCCCCCCCCCCGCACTAGCTTTTCCCAAGCGGCTGGCCCACCATACATGCAAATATTTTTCCAAAACCTGCAAAACCTGAAGCTCTGCTAATCTTTGGGGTTTTTCAGGGTACCGCGTATATTGAACCATCCCAACTCTAAGCCTCCCAGACCCTCATCCTGAAACTATACGCCCTTAGCCTTCACAGCCAGGGAGCTGATGGGGGAAGGCCACAGCCCCGGATGGACCACACATCACAGCTCCACGGTCAAGCTCTGTGCTCATGCACTCCCTGAGAGATGAATTTCAAGTTTAGCTGATCAGCCTTTATTATTTAGGAAGCCGGGTTCTCTAGGGGCGCAACACCAGGTAAATCTTAGATTTCTTGATGGCTGCACAAAGCAAGCTAATATTCTTCTTCATAAACGCTATGATGACGAGGAAATAGGCAATCCTACTTCAGAAGAGAAGATCCCGGATTTCGAATATGGTAGTTTCGCAGAATAGGGGACCCCAATATAGACCCCCAAATACTACAATCCTTATTATGGGGACCCCCGAAATGGTATCCCTAATTTTGGGAAACCCCCATATCTATCTCATATTTCGCTTGGGACTTGAGGGCTCCAGGATTGGACGTGAGGGAATGGCATCAGCTGCTGGCAACCCCACCGAACTCACCAGCATCAGTAAGTGCGGTAAGGCTAGTTTTGGATAGAACCTCTACATAGATTCTCAGATGAACCTCTTACATTACGACGTTATCCCTCAAAATCTGAGCTATGGTTTAAACACCTAGTATCCCCTTAATAACCCCTATAATAATCCCGTATATTATCCCCCTTTAACAACAGCTCATCTGAGGTGTTATTAGTACTTATCAGGAATGCCTTACGGGGTCCAACTCGCGGCACCTGACGTGCAAATCCTTCTCGGCTGCAGGGATATGGAAGCGATCGAGGAAACTATTGACGAGCCTGGGTGCGATTCGGGGGGCTGCAATGTGGGGCTAGGGTTGGGGTTGGGGTGTTGGGGCTTAAGGAGCCTCAGGAGTTTGAGGCTTTAATTGGTTTTAAGCACTCAGTTTTAGGGCTTCTGCAAATTCGGGTTCGGTGTCTGCTCCCGGGCTCCGAAACGGATCCAACAGTCAGATTGACAGGGGTTCCAATACGGGGGATTGCTTGTGGCATTGTTATGATAAGTGCGGCCACATGAAACCTATCCTTTGGATCTCTGTTGCTTCCACATTGTCAACCCCTACAGTATCTCCTGAAACTCCTGAACCTCACAGGAAAGACCAGATCCTAAACACCCCATCCTGAACCCCAAGCCCACTGAATCTAGTACAAACTACCCAGAAACCTCAACGTACTCCAGGCACAACAAAGCTAAATACCGCAGCTGCGCGGCGTCGGCAAGGCTGAGGGTCTGGGAAGAGTGGCCGACATGAGTATTGTTTTGTACCTGGCTATAGCGTTGAGGATTTGAGGTTTTGGGTTTAGGGTTCATCCGTCGACAATACCTGGAAACATCTGGAAACCGGGAAGCCTCGAACTCAAAATGGTATAGGACTTGTCTAACCGTCTAAAGAGGACTGCACTGGCATCTTACAAAAACTCTGAAATTTGGGTCCGGTAGTACCCCTTCTGCCCGTGCTTTTAGGTCTCATGTTCTCACGACATCCCTGTACGACCTCAGCAAACCATGTTATGAAAGCCTACCTCATGTGGATCGGTCGGTTGTGGAGCTTGGAGCCCCTGCACCCCTTTCAAAAAGCTTTTTCAGAAATGATTTACAGTGCTAGCTTTCAGGACAAGACTGCAAGTCTTGGAATAGTTTAGGGCGTAGGGTTCCGAATGTAGGGCTCAGATGTTGGGATATTTGATGTTTGGCCCCAGGGCCCAGGGCTCACATCGGCGTCATCATGGCTTGCATCATGGCGCAGGCCAGCGGGTTGTCCTACAGAAATCCATGTGCAGTTCAAGGCGAATTGTAGACCCCCGATTAGCAAACCCCTCCCCTAAATAGGGGTTATAGTGAGGATCCTAATGTTGATGCCCTTAACAGGATGGGGTTTATTCATCGTGGGTCTACATTAAGGGCTTGGGATTTGTCAGTAATTTTCAGTTTCTGATCGAGATTCTTCAAGTTGTGCGCCTCTCCATGTTGGATTTCGGGTCCAGGGCAGGTAGAGGGCGGAGTTGCGAACCATCCGCAAAAACCAAAGACGGAAAATCAATGGGCATTCAGTAGCAGCTACAACCAAAACAGACGCTGGTCGTGGCGGTCAAGAAATCCTTGAAGAATTTTTTCAAGGGGCCCCTACTACAGTCTCTACAGTCTCAGAATCCCTGTATATCTGCGGCCTTCATGGCCCCCCTCCACCCCTTCCCCCAGACGGGTGAATGATGTAAAATATGTAGACTATGATTAACATATTAGCTGTAAAAGGCGATTTAAAGAGGGCTTATGCCTTCATAGAGGGTTCATACAAGCTGTACTGCAGGGCTTATAGAATTCCATAGAATAGAGGGCTTATTGAGAGAATCACAGCTTCTAGAGGACGCTTCTAAAAACAGAAGAATCTGCGAGAAGGGGGTCTGCAGAGCCTTCATTCTGGCCTGTGGTCCGGTTGCTGTGGTGTGGTGTTTCCAGAAGCATTATTTATACCGAAACCATCACCAGGGCTATCTCAGAATCCCAGAGAATCCCAGAGAATCCCAGAGAATCCCAGAGAATCCCAGAGAATCCTCAGGGTTCTCTGGGTACACATCGCTACCCATGGGCGGCTCGTCGACCACAAGGATGGTCCTGCACAGACGCACAGAAGCTGAGAGATGGGAGTTTTTGACGAGTGAAAGTCTATGGTGAAAAGCCTGTCTCATCTTGGGTACCCTTAGAAGCCCAAGATATCTGGAAATGACGGAGAATTGTGGTTCTGAAGCCCCCTGCTATAAGCCCACATGCAAGAAGATCTGCCCTTTGGTTGGCAAGGCATCGACGAAAAAAAGACCCCAGCTTCTGGGAAGCACCAAAATCCACAGGAAAGCAACTCCGGGTCTACTGCTTGCAGAGCCAAAGTGAAGTGCTAGAAATCCTCTGGTAATCTTTGGCCACAGCTTGTTCAATCCATACAAGCTAAAGCCTTCATCCCTAAAAATCGAAACCGTTAAACCCTAAAGGCAAAACCCATTCCCCATGGTGTCGTCAGCCCCCCGCGCCTGTTCGGATCGAGCTGCCTCAAAACCCAGGAGGCACTGGCGGAGTCGCACATCAGGAAGATACCTGCTCCGCAGCGAAAGCATGGTTTAGGATTCCGGGTCTGATGTTGGACTTCCTTTATTGAAGAGGATTCTGCAATGCGTTTTGAGGGTCAAGCCAATGATGTAAGGACCTCTGGAATGTGTTTCGGTTTTAGGATCCTAGCAGAATCCACACGATCCCATTATGAGGCCTCGATAGGGTACGGCGGGACCCCAGGCAACGCAGATGTCAGGAGAATGTCAAGGCCGCGTAAACACGAAAAGCTTTGTCTGTGCAATTTTTCCACAGCACCCCCAGCAACAGAAGCCATGATGAGAAATGCTTATACGGGGAGTGCTAACTAGGATAGGTATAGTGGCGGCAATGATACCCTAGCTCAAGGGAAGCACATTCAAGTTTAAGGAGCCGCGGAGTAGTGAAGGCCCAGGAGGCAGCTGCAGGGTGCAATGCGATGGCTTCTCCAACTACAGTAGGGTTTGTAATGCTCTGGGATTTCTAAAGAGACTCTCTCCAAAGGATCCGCATTCGCTCTGTCATTGCGCTCCAGCGTCCAGAGGATGTTAACCCCTTCAATTCCAACAAACCTGTAGCAGAACATGTCCCAAACCCTGCTCCCCCTATGTCCCAACTTCGAGGAAGGGCACAAGCGGAAGGTAGCTTTTAGGGCCCTAGACCCCCACAATCCTGGAGAGCACAGCCAGACATTACGAACCCAAATCCTGAATCCAGGCGATGTAAAAGCTTCAGCTGCTGCTGGAGTTGCGTGGGAAGCGCTTCAAGTCGTGAAGATTGCCTTGCTCGGCGCGCAGTGCAGTGCCCTCCCCCGAAGGTATCGCCAATCACTCTTCTTATGGAGTGTATTTCACGTGCTTGAACTTCTTTGGGCAGGTGAACATGATTTCCTGAAGTTTCAGGGAGTTCGCTGGGTCTTCAAAGCCCCGCGAACCAGAGTTCAAGTAATGCTGCCAGCAGCAGATGCAACCTGAACGTTGGGGAGATACGAGTGGGATTATACTTGGCTCTGTCAGGACCATGAAGATGTTGGGACATCAGGAGATACAGGGATGTCTAGGAAGTGTATCAGCACTTCTACAAGGCAAGCCTCAAGGAACAACGCCGAACATCGAGCACTGCGGACGTGCCCTCCTCAAATTTCAAATCCATGGACTGTTCCCCAGCTCCCGAAGGTCCAAACACCCAAATAGCAGAAGCCCCAAACTATCAATCTGGGAACGCATTTGGGCCCAGAGCAAACAAAGTATCGATAGTTGGATAGCATCCAACCGTCTGATAAAACAAACCAGAAAACTAAAAAACAACTCTAAATTGGAAACCCGCAACTACCCTCAAAAGGAAGAAGTCAACATCTATGCGGCCCAGCAGCGCTTTCGCTTTTTCTCTGCCAGCCGCTTTTTCTTGCGCTCCAAGTTGAGCTTGACGACCTGAGGCTCCACTGGAAAAATTCATGGGGGGTTCTCCAAAGCATGTGTCCTTTGAGGCTCCCTGTGTTTTGAGACCTGCCCATGCATGATTTCAGGCTTGGGAGGCATAAGGTATAGGATTGCGCTTCACCCTTCAACTTGCATACTCAGTAAACAGGAAACAGGTCCACAATCCCGCTGCAGCTGGTAAGAAACTAGTCAACAGACACATTGAAAACTCGGCATGGCAGGGCTTGCCCAAAACTCTTCTTAAGGCGCCGGCCATGTATCTCAGACACTCCACTGCCGTTTGCGCAGGCCTCAGCTCAAGCTTTTCAAATGTTTTTTTCTAAATGAATCTTGAGATGATGTCTAAATCCATGAAAAGCCAGCAGGGCCAGGGCATGGCTTACTTACTTGCCGGAATGAATTATATATAACTCCAAACCCAATCCAAGTAATTAGGCCCCAAAATTGAGACTCCATAGTTCTGGCATCGCCGCAAAGGCGAACATGAAAAGCACTTGAAATTCCATTCTGGCGCTTGGGCAAATAGACAAGCTAAAAGGATGAGTTTGCAGCTTTCTAAAGGTTTGCGGGGAAGGCTTCCCACCGCAGGAGGAGCGTGTGCCCAGTCTTCGGACCGCAAAAGGCTCAAAAACTCCAATTTCCAGCTGGACTGCTGGTACTTCGCCTTGGATCCTGGACCCCACAGAACCCCAGGCCTCCAAGAGAAATCTTTTCAGCCAGGAGGCTTGTTCGGCTCTGCTGGCATGTCAACATGCGTACCCAGGCCGCGGCCGCACGAGTAGCTGGGGGTGATCCGCCTCCCCTTACCTTTGTGATTCTGCTTCACTTCGCTCGGTGCTGAAAATGAAGGCTTTTGGAAAATCACTTCAAAGACCTCTTCAAATCCTCAGCTCAAGTCTCAGCACTGCTCCAGACAGCCAACCCTGAAATGCTCTCAAGCTCAGGGGAATTCTCAGCAATCATAGCTTTCAGGAAGCCGGAGTCTGTATTAATTACATGATAATTCTGGAACTTTTTGTTGAAAACTCAATTTCAACTTATTTCAGTCAAGACATGATAAAGAACTGAGGACATCTGGCTACAAGAATGTCATACCGCCTGTCTGACAGGCCAAGCCCCTTGCCGTACTTGAACGCTTGGATTTAGCTCTAAATGCAGGTGTAATCTCTCTCATCAGTTAATACATGTATCTATCTTTGTCCTACACTGATATCTTCGGAACCCCACTTATCACTACCAACGAAACCTCTGAAAAATCGAGCCAGCCAAGATCCACGAGCCTCCAAACTCTCCCGCCCCAAGAGCTTCGTGAGCTTCTATCTCGATAAACCCTAAACCATAAACCCTAAGCCCTACACCCTAATCATATACTTTCAGCTCAAAAGTGCGAAGTCTAAACCTTCATCTACTCCAAGTCCCACATGCAAAGAGCCTGGTCACGTTCCCATAGTAGCCTCCATAAGCTACAAGGCACCCTATCAGGGGTCGCTCCGAGAATACCAAAACCTGACCAAAACTCCAAGCCGCAGAAGGCATAAGGGATACCGAGCCTAGGCTCTGGCAGAAATACTAGGAAACGATTGGTTCAAACTACTATAGTATATTGGGGTTATATTGGGATAATGGATAAGAAAATGGAAACTTAAGAATTACAGTGACTATATAGGGATTATATAGGGATTATGGGGTCTATATTGGGGTTGTATAGGGATAACAGAAAATGAAAACTACTATAATGGGTCATATAAGGGTGTATATACATGGTTCGGGATTGTCTGGGCTTTGGTGTAACGTCGGTGTTTATAACTCGCATAGATTTGTAAAAGTTTGTAAAACATTCGATTCAACGGTTTCCAAGCAGCGTGTTGGAGATGCGGCCCACGCTGAGCACAACCGGAAGAGCCGGGCAGCAAAAAACCAGCCTGGGAGAAATGGTAGTTTCCCAAAATTCGGGTACCCCCAATATAGACCCCAATATACTATAGTCCTTATTCTGGGGACTCCCATAGAGGTAATTCTGGGAAAATCCCACTTGCTGCCCCCCCTGGACCCCCCGACCCCCCTTGGACCTAGCAAAACCACTGATCTGACCATTTCGTGGAACCCCCCTCAACCTACCATGGAACCCCTCTGAGCCCCCCTTGGACCTCCGCTGGACCCGATTGCATGGCAGGGTCCCAGCTCCCGCAGAAAAAGTATGCAGGCTCAGCCCCCGAAATCATCGCCACACAACTGGTGGTCAGATTGCAACACTTGCTGTAACTAGGCCACGCTTGTGAACAGAAGAGAAGCCAAAGCATGGCAAATAGATTTGCATGTTGAAAGAAGACGGCAACCAGTGTATAAAACATACGGACACGAGTATGAACATGTGTGTATATCTATATGTATACACACATATGAATACATAAATATACACGCATAAGACTGATAGTTCTCGTATTTTTTCCATGTAAGCTGGAGTGAAACTAATACACTACTTAATTTGCGCCGGGCAGCGTGTGCACGGGGAACAAATTCCTGAGCTCACAGCGCTGTCGCTTCCAAAGAGCTTTGCACAGGAAGGCCCCTCTCCCTAAACCTTAACTTGTTGGGTGTAGGCTTTCTCCAATTTGCAAGCCCTTCTCAGGCGCCCTCTGTAATGAGGACGCTTGCAAGATAACAACCTGCCCATCAGGTAATGATGCAGAGTTTCCGCTGCCGGGTTTAGTGGCATACATGGGATGGGCTGATTGACATCGGCCCCCTGAACTGGATGTTGGGCCACAGTATCTGCATCAGTCTTGCAACCATCGTGGTCATCATCCACGAGCAAAGCGTCATGTTGGTCTCCCTACCTAAAGTGAAAACATTGGCCTTTAACCCTGAGCCCCAAGTCCAGCCCAACACCTCAACCTTGGATCCGGGACTCAGGATGTGCGACACGACAGCCGTCTTCCCCGTACCGGGGGGCGCAATGCCGAAGACAAGCTGTGGTCCTCTACAGGAAAAATTATCCCAAGCTTGCAAAACTTTGGAAGAACATTCTTGGCGGAGCCTGGAACGCGGAACCTGGAACTAGACGTGCATTGCTTGCTTTTCCTCCATATGGGTTGGAGCAATCGTTGTTCAAGCTGGAACCCACATTTGTACTTCAGTTGCCTTTGTGCAGTTGTTAAGGATCTTCTGAAGGAGTTGTGCTCTATGACAGCGCGGCGCGTGAGGTTTGACTTTCAACTGAGCTTAAGCTCAGCAAGGTCCATGGTCATTCCCCCTCTCTGGTCACGATGCCACTTGTAATCGCATATTGCAAAACACTGATGGCCTTTATCATGGTACCTGGAAGGGGAGACAGCTAGACTATAACCAAATATTCAGTTCCAAACCCAAAGCCTGAAAAGCAAAATCCAAAACCTCAAGCCCTCCAGAATCAAAAATGCGAAGCCCCAAACCCTCAACCCTAAACCCTATAAAGCCAAACCCTCAACCCATCACTTCGACGAATACCTACATTCCCTCCTTGGCGCTGTTAGAAACCTGTAAGATAATAATCTCAGTTTCTATTTCATTTTCCATGTTCTTTTTCATTGGATTCTCCATTATAGCAGGAAAATATCCAAAAAACCCGAAATCCTAAATCCTAGGCACGTCCTGGCTGAAGGATGGCATCGATCATTAATTCCTGGACCAATCCAAGGAGTGTAGGAGCATGGGGGCTAAAGGAGAGTCAGAAGTCAAGTCGAGGTTTATAACTTAGGGCTCAGGTTTTTTGCTTTTTTTGGTGGGACCTTTTCTCCTCAGGTTTAGCTCCCTTAGAGATGCTTGAGCTTAGGGTTTAGGATTTCGGGTTTAGGGTTAAGTCTACCATACTGGAGAATCAAATCGAGATGAAATACAAACTGGGACTGCAAAACGGTTGCAGTTTAGGGTTGCGGGTCTACCTAGTAGTTTCCATTTTCTTGTCCCTTATCCCTATATAACCCCAATACTACTACAGTTGGTCCTAAACTCTATATAATTCAGGTACCCTCCGGAGCCTTCGGGACATCAGGAAATACTTTCAGGATTATCTGCAGGAGTGAGAAGCTCCAAATTCTTGCCAGCTGCAGGAAACTGGAACTGGTGGGTTGAAGCAGATAGCTCATGTCCCAAACTGCGAGCAAGAAAGTGGACACTCGCATAATTAGGGCCCACGCCATGTGCGCGTGCCGTAAGAAATGGCAAGGAAAGCTAAATTCTCGAGTTGGCACAGCGTTTTCTGTGTTCGCTAAGGTGAAGATTTTTGTTTGATTTGTTGCCTAGTTTTTTTCGCAGGACTTCCCATCACGCATGCGTCTCTGAGTTGTTTGCATGGGCATGTGCAAAATCACCTGCCAGCGCAGTGTTATGCGCACATCTCGAAGTTTGTGCGCGGTAGAGGACTGCATGCAATTCTGCACCGAAAAGGACTGCCATAGATGTCGCTTTTCGCTGTTTTTCTACGACATATGACCACGATAACGAGAAGTTAAGTCGGAACAGCACAGAAAGGCATGTATCCATGCTTTCCCCACTCTAAAGATCTGTCTCAGATGTTTGTTTCAGCAAGGGCAATGTTTGATGCTTGTTGGGAAAGCTCGTGGTGCGTGTTGTTCTCCTCGGTGGTGGCCGAAATAAGTAACCTTAAGCGTATTAAGAATTTCTACGGGGCACGAAGCCTGGGTCACAAAAAGGCGCATCCCTTCACATGTTCCTCGCAAAGGCACATTTCTGTGTGTGCTCAACCCCAAGCTCAAATGAGCGGAGTGGCTTTCACGTTATTCTGGTTCGGGCAGAACTTGTCACCGAATGCATTCCGGCATGGGCGCTTGGTTTCGGCTCGGTCCTTTCAGCTCCAGCTCCTACGTGAGGTCAGGGCCCAGGCGAGGCAGACCTACGAGATGCATGTTCCCAGGGCTCCGGGAGGCACGCCCCTCGTGACGATGAATTGGAAGTGTTGGGCATGGACGTTGTTCTGTTTCAGGCAGGCATGGGATGCCACAGTCACGATCGAGGTCAGCACATGGACATTCTTATGGTTTGGGCATTGCAAACTATGGTCACCGAATACAGTCCGGCACGGAGCATGGACATTCCATGGTTTGCGCATGGATGCTCTGGTCACTGAACACACGAACTGCTGGGATCGAAAGCCACGAAGGAAGCACACCGCGCAAATGCCCAGGCCGGAGATATAGATATGTTTGGTACCCCTACGTGTACCTAGCTTTTTCTGCCTTTCCTCCGATTTCCAGAGAGGTCACCCCTGCTAATTGGTCAAGGAGACGAGACTTTCATTGCGTTTATCGAGTGTGACGGAAACCTGTTAAGGTTTGACAGGATCAACACAATCTTCATACTCAATCTCATGAATCTTGTTGAGGTAGCAATAATAGAGACATTGGAAACCCAGAAAACACAAGGCTCTCAACTTGAAAAACACCAAGCAAAACAAAAACAACAAACACATGTTCTTCATTCTAAGCTGTATGGAAAAACCAGGAATGCGTGGTTGTTCTTAGTTTTGTCAATGGCATGGAGCTCTCGACCAGCAAAATAACAACGAAAAAACTCACGATCTCATCTCTCAACACCAGAAATTATTGGGTTTTCTCGGTTTCTTTTGATGCAGTGGGGATCTTGAACCTGAAAAACATTGTAGAACCCAACAGATTACAATGACTGACCATGAGAACTTTCAAAAACCCAGCAAAAAGAGCACAAGAAAAGACACGTTGTTTTCTAGCCATCTCATCTCTAAAGACCAAGAATTAATTGTTTTCTTGGTGTTTGTTGAAATGCTGTGGGGCTCCTGACCAAAAGCTCTTTTTAGAAATGAATTTTAAAACATCGTTAATGGTTTGAAGATAATGTATTTTGCTTTGCCTGTCTGTTAAAAGATTGGCATCACATGGACATTGTGTTCATGGTTTTCCTGGTTTGTTCAATGGCTTGGAGCTGTTCACAATGAGTTGAAATTTCTTAATACTTTCAAAATAATTCTTTTGTGCGGTTTTCTTGGTTTTTCCTCGTCTTTCATTGTCATTGCGTGTTTTTTTTCTTCTTTTTGCTTGTGTTGCTTTTCAATGATTTGGAGCTCCTGACGATAAAATAAGGAATCGAAACCCAGAAAATCATGCGTTTTCGATGTTCTTGAATCTGGTGTTTAAAGTAGATTTGCTAGTAGTCTTCATAATCACATTTTCGCAGAGCAGCCACGGACAAAGACTTTACTGGCTGTTTCGTGGCTAATTTGAAAATCATTGTTGTTTTCTAGTTTCTTCGATTTTTCTCAAGGCCTTCATGGTCTGAGCATGGTTTTCCGTTGTTTTTTCCGTGCTTGTCAATGATTTTGAGCTCAATTTCTTGGATAGTCTGAAAATCATGTCTTGTGTCGTGGTTCTTGTTTAATTTACCAAGGTTTCCAGAAAAGGAGAATCAGAAATTCATGGTGAATCTTGATTTTTTCCACGCTTCCAGTAGCTCACGCTTAGAAAGCACCGGAAACCAATAAGGACCATCATTTTCCAGGCTTGTGGCGCTGGCATGTCCAACTAGTTAAACGAACGCATATGCATCCACTCCTTCCACCCATAGTGTAAAAGAGGAATTCCATGGTTCGGGGGGAATATGTCATGAAAGATGCCGATAGGCATTTGTAAAAACAATCCTTCCAAGTAAATAACTGATGAACTCCACTTCATCAGTGAATTTCCTGGACTTGGAATTGTCCTTCCATATACCTCCATTCAAAAGCACTTTTATGAAGCAACAACACGGCCCGGCACGGCAGGGTACGACCACATTGCCCGCCAGAAAAATCAGCAAAAGGAGAGAAAGCGCCCACCATGAAGGTTTGCTCTTGTTTGCTAAAAGGAAATTCTTTATTTAGACCTCTTGTCTTTTGAAGAATCAACACCAGGAAAGCAAGAAGATCCCTAATCCCGTTTGATTTTGTCATATATCTCCCCTATTATCATGTAATAGTTTCCATTTTCTTTCCCATTATCCCAATATAGTCCATATATAATAGTAGAACACATTTGTCATTACGACCCCAATCACAAGCCAGATGTGTTCTAATAGTATATGCGGAGTATATTGGAAAGAACATGGAAACTGCTATTTTGTGATAGGGGAGATATAGAGGGATTTTACGTATTAGGGGAAGATCATCCCAAAACATTGGCAAAACTGACAAAAATCTGAATTCTGAAACTACTGGTCTGGTCTGTCTGCAGCTTGCTCCTGATAACAAAACAGGGGGATTACAGTGACAGTGTTATAAAAAGATACAAACCCCTCCATGTTTTCCTGACAGGACATAAAAAGTTAGATTCTTGAAAAGCAACGAGGAAATCTTGCTTGCCCTTTGGGAAGAATAGCCTTAGCTGAAGAATCACTTTTTCGACAGGAAATAGGAGATTTCTGAATTATAATTCTGAACAGTCTTGCAGGAAACAAGAGATTTACCTTGGCCCCCTGAAAAAAGAAGATATCTTATGACTTGAGATGGCCAGTGTATGGGCTCTTGTTCAAACAAACGAGAGATCTGGCAAGCAACCAGAAAGCTCCTCATACTCCTTCATATGGACTGATCCACACTCGTAGAAATACATACCTGAAATGCAATGAAAACTGAGAGAACCCCAGACTCTTGAAAAATTCTTACGACTAGTTCACAATAGTGGGACTTGTCTTGCCAGGACATAGTTCTTGAAAGACAATGAGGCCGTTGTAAAGCAGAGGCTCTCTCCTATCCTCTCAAGAACAGGCTTCTCAAAGACAATAGTTCTTTAACAGTGCACGGTTGGGCCGTCAGCAAGTTTTGGGTTTAGAAAGATAGGTAGGCACATGGAGAGGGCAGCAAGCGCTTACAAACACACACTATCTTGACTCATTTTGATTTAGAAAATTCATGCTTTTTCCATTCTTTCAGTGCCCAACTGATCAGCTCCTGGATCTTGAAGGGCTTGAAGACTGTTGTGCGGTGCTTCTTGGCAAACCCGCCTTGGCTTGCAGGCATGCACTTGGCGTCTCCTCACAACTGAGGGGTCCCAGCTCATGAGTCACACCACGTCTATTGGAATGCACATATGGAGAATTGTTGTTTCTCGTTGTTGGCCACCCTAAGAACACCAAACTGAACCCCGAAACCTGACACCAAGTAGCTGCCAGCAAGCAAGTGAGCACCGTTCTGGAGGTACCAAAGCAGGTCAAACTTGGCCTTGGCCCGCAGCGAAGCAGACCCTGGTTTATGAGGTTTTGTTTTGAGTTCAGGGGTACTGTACTCTTGGGTACTTTACTCAAAAATTGCAGAACCTGGGTGCAAAACGTTGGGGCTTCAAAGCTGAAATCCTTGCAAAAGCCTCATGCGACCCTGCCGCCCCTGCCACGGAGCCCTCGCGGAATCGGGTCTGCAGAGCCAGCGCATCCTGAAGCGGGAGGACCTCCTGCCACACACACATGGTCTACGACTTAGGGTTTCGGATTCAGGGTCATAGGTTCAGCTCAGAGGGCTTCGGGGATAAGGGATGCAGAGTAGAGCAGCACTGCAACGAGTTCACGACAAGACAAAATCCGAAAGCTTGTTACTTAGCTCCCGGAGTCGTCATAAACTGCTCGGCATGCAAACCCAGAAAGGGACCGCAAAAAAACAAGGGCTTGCGGCAACTCTGAGGGCCTAAGTCCAAGAACTTTCAACTGAACCTGAGATGCTGCCTCCATCGGAGTCTGAGGAAACTCGAAGGCGTACCTGAGTATATTATAGTAGATTGTAATATATTATAGTATACTTGAATATGTGATAGCATATTGTTGTATATTGTAATATATTGTAGTATGTTGGACTTTCACCAAAGTTTGAGCAGCGCCCCTGGCTACACACATGCATGCACCAGCAGCATCAGAATCAGGCATCGCTTTTGATGCTTCAGCTTCTTACATGGTCGACCAGCTTCAAGAACCACAAGACCCTACGCATACTTGCAGGTCTGACAGCTACTTTACAAGCCAGCGGCACGAAATTAGGTTGAGATGGGTTTAGGGATTCAGGTTACAGGGCTTGAGAACCCCCCCCCAAAGCACTCTCCCTCCAAGGACCTGCCCCCCGAAGCATCCCCCCCCCCCCAAAACCCCCACCCCCTTCTTGCCCCACCCCACCTTCCCAGCTTCATGTGAAATGCAACCATGCTGACCACCGAGCTTCATGGCTAAGAA